AGCCCCCCCCCCCTCACATATTTCTCTTCATCATAACACAAGTTCTTCATAATCATCCTAATTGTTCATAAATAACCCATTATAATAAATGAAAAGCAAAATATAGAAAATACCTTCATCACGTTCCAATAGCATCTCACTCGTCGTCAACCATATCTCCGTCCCCATTACAATCCTCATCCTTCTTTAACCTCCCACACACATTACACTCCATCACATCCGACACAACTCCCTCCATCGATGGTGGCAAAGGCGCCAACGTCCCTCCACACCCCTCGACATCACACACAAACTTCACGAAAAAATAAGCATGCGGAAAATCTTCCTCCTCCATCTCCACCTCAACATCCATCCCCTCATCACTCCCCTCCTCCTCCTCCTCATCCTTCCACTCCCTCTCAACCAAACACCTATCACACTCACAAACAAACCCAAACCCCCCCCCCAGCCTCTTTTGCCTCTCCTTATACACCCAATTCACCGGAAAATAGCTCAAGCAAACCTCCCTCCCCTCCGATATCTCATGAACCGCCCTCACAATAATATCCGTATTCCCCCTCCCATCCCTACCCACCCCGTCCACATAATCAAACCTACAAGCATTCGGCAAGCAATCGTGATTAAAAAGAGACGCCAAAGGGTAAATCCCATAAGCCCGAACCTTCCGCTGCCTCGCCGATCCCCTCCATGATTCCAAAGGCGTTGAGGTGGTCTTTTTGACGAGGTCGGCGCCGTGGAGGGATAGGAGTCGGGAGAAGGAGTCGGGGGAGGTGATGGAGAGGGAGTGGGCGCGGCGAGGAAGAGATCGTCGGGGAGGCCGCCGGAGGGAGGTGGCGGAGGGAGGAGCAGAGTGGGGAGGGGTGGGAGGAGAGGCAGGAGGGGAGCAGAAGAGGAGGGGCAGGAGGAAGGGCAGGGGATGCTAGGGTTAGGGTTTGTAGGAAGAGCGGAAGCAGGAGGAGCAGGAGGAGGCTAGGGTTTGGAGGGAGGAGGGGTAGAGGAGGAGAGGGGAGTCGAGAGGATGATCTCGCCGGCTTTATCGTGCGGCGGTGGCGATCAGCCCGCGCTCGGCCGGTGATTCGGCGGGTTTCACCGGAAGTCTGCCGGCGGCGGCCGCATTGGCAGTTGATGGGGTCTTCGATTATTGTGGGTTTAGCTTCGCTCTCGGAGGTTTGGGAACTCTGAAGTCAGCACTCAAAAGGGTAGCCTGCGATTATTTTGAAGATGAAGGGTTTTGATGAATTTCAGAAAAATAAGGGGTTTTATGAAATTAGCTAGAGTTTAGTGGGCTTTTAATATGACTTTCAAAGTTTACGATTGTTTTGTGCATCTCTCTCATTTCGGATTTTTTTTAAATTTGCTCCGCAATATTTTTATGAATTAAATCATTAAATTTCATTTGAAGGATAAATCCTTCAACTTTTTAAGTAGCTTAAATTTGTTTTGTGTTAGGATTTTCTTTTTAAATTCAGCTTGAATCAAACTAACTATGCAATAAGTTATTCAATTTCTCACTCTCTTTCTTTCTACGGACCCGTACGGACCCGTACGGACCCGGGCGAAGGCTAGCAGGCAATATAGACACCAATCATTCTTTTAATTATATATAGCAAATAAAAGCCTCCTGAATCGTAAATGCTATTAGGGTTCTTCGGCAAAACTTGAAAGTTTAGGGAGCTCTATGGGGAACAAGAAAGCTTGGGGCGTTTGATGAAGAAACAATTCAGCGGATTTCATTGGCAACCCTCCAAATTTAAGGGCGTTTTGTGAAATTTATCCCTAAATTTTGTTTTTTTTAATATTAGTCTCCAAAATCTTTGGTATTTTGTATTAATGCCTCAAATCTTTATATTTTAAAACTAGTCATCTAAATCCAATTAGTTGTTTGAAATTAGTCTCTCTATCTGACTAAATTTCTAGACATGGTCCCCATTACACCGCTTAATCACGTGAGAAAATGGGAAGTTTTACCTGTGGTACCATTGGCAAGGAGAAGGGACTAGTTGTTGGGCAAGAAAACTACAAAAATAGATTTGGGGCTTTTTAAAAGGTGGTCAGAGGATTGTAAAGGTTGTATGTATAAAAGAAGGTATAACGAAAATTGCTACAAAGTTATCATAGAAATGACAAAATATTCCGTCCATTTTAACTACGTCCCAACTACATGGACTTATTTCAAGCAATTAATAGGATTTAGAGGGTTAATCTCAAAATAGGAAGATCTGGAGGACTAACATCGAAACAAGATAGATTTGAGGGACTACTACGAAAGAAACCCTTAAAAACTAAAAGGAACTTTAGTTCAGGCCTCCCCATGCGGACAGTGTCCAAATACTGAAGCCCATGCACCTAAAGCCCAATCCGGGCCCTTTCATTGCGCATCAGAGTTAGGGTTTAATTTCTCTCTATATAAACCATCGACTCCTCTTCTTTGACGGCGTAGCGAAGATCAGGCGTTCTTAGTTCTTAAATCTCTCGATTTTTGATTTAATTTCTTTGATTTTTTTTTCTAGTTTATTCTTTTTAAATCGCGCTCTCTTCGGTGATGATCAATACTTTCGTTCTTCCGAGGTTGGTAATCCCGACTATGCGGAAAAAAATATTTTGGAGACCTGATCTGAGAATATATCTTTTTATCCTTTTTTTATTCTTTTTTTTTTGGGTTTTATATGGTGGATTAAGTCCCTGGGAAGATCTTTTGAAGTAAAGTAGTGGGCTGACTACAATTTGATGAAATAATTCACTGAATCTGAGGGTACAAATATCTCTATTATTCTAATTTTCTTTGTGATTTTTATTGAAGGATTTGTTTTGTTTTGTTTTGTTTTTTTTTTGTCACCGATGATGATCAAATTTAAAACTTTCGTTCTTCCGAGGGTGTGATTTAATCCACCTGTGCGGATGTTTTATGGAGACCTGAACTGAGGAGGCATCTAGTTTTCTTTTAATCAAATTTTTTATTTATTTCCATTTTTAAAGAAATGGGATCTCCCTATGATTGCACTAAATTAAATGTAGTTTCAGCCTTGTCTGAAATAAATCGTTCTTGATGAAATTCTAAATTTGTTCTGAGGGAGATTGCTATTTTGATTTAAGCCCACCTAAGCAAAATATATGTGAACTACGGAATTTAGAATTTATATGTGCGCAGGAAAAATTCAGAATTAGTGGTTCTTAGCATTTGCGATTTGGGCATCAAGAAGAAATGGAGCAAAGCATTAACGACTGAACAATCTTGTATTTATTTGAATAGTTAAATAACATGTTTGGAAATTAGTTAAAGTGATGTGGCTTATGAGCTACTGAGGCATGTTTGGTAACCAGCTTATATTGGCTTACAAGATTTTTTTTAAAGCTGCCCCAACTCAACTTATTTTTAATGGCTTGTAAACAACCTAGTTTGATCAGGCAAATAACAAGCTTACCCGTCAATATTTTAGATAATTCTAAAGTCTACTCTTCCATTTCCAACCTCATGAATTATCTTTAGGGCTTGTTTGGATTGAGGGGAATGAGGGTGAATGGAAGTTAGGGGAACCATTCACCTCCATTCATCTTGTTTGGGAACACTTAGGTCATCTTGTTTGGGAACACTTAGGAGGTGAAGTTAATTCACCCTAGTTCCCCTTGGTTCATCCCCTAATATTGTTTGGGAACACTTAGGAGGTGAAGTTAATTCACCCTAGTTCCCCTTGGTTCATCCCCTAATAGTATAAAAATTGTTACCCCATAGGAGGTGAAGTTAATTCACCCTAGTTCCCCTTGGTTCATCCCCTAATAGTATAAAAATTGTTACCCCAAATTGGGGTGTAATCAAGGGGAAAGGAATTCCCTTCCCTTCACTCAGTTTCCCTTAACTTCCCTTCACCCTTTACAAATCTAAACAGGCCCTTAGAGTAAATGTCTTTTTTTATTATTTTAACAACAACAATGGATTATAATTCATCTAGTTGTCAAACACTTACTATTGAAATCAACTTGACTTATAATTCATTTGTGAATTATAAGCCAAGTTCCTAAGCATGCCATAACAACTTTTCCTTAGATGTGTTAGAAGCTATGGGCACTGCACCATCCAAAACATGGAAAGAGCTGAAAGTACGAGAAGAGCAAGCTGAACGTTTCCTCAAAAGGAAGAAAATTGAAAGGGGTCAACCAGCAAAAAACGCCCAGAAACAGAACTTTACTCCCCGTGGTAAAGGGAAGGGGCAGGCAAATGCGGTGGATGTAAATCAGACATTCCAATTACAACCCCAACAACAGTCTCAACAACAAGCGCCAAAGTAGCTAACGCCTCCAAGGCAACAATGACCTCCAAGGCAACAAAAAACTTCTGAGCTGAAATTCCCGAAGGAATATTCCTTCAAAGAAGATGAGGACCTTGGTATCTTCAAGTATTTGCTGGAGAACAACAAAATTAAGCTACACCTAATCATTGATCACGAGGGAGCTAAGAAAACTACAAATCCGTGATACTGCGCATTCCACAGAACAGTTCATCATCCCACAAAGACGTGCTACGCTCTCAAAGATAAGATTCAGGCATTGATCAATGTTGGAATCATCATTCCAAAAGCAGCCCAAAAAAAAGATGGTGTGCGCGAATGCGGTTTCTATTAGCTTTGGCTCTGTCCCTCTGTCATGGTTTTAGCCAAAGCCCATATCCAAAGTGGAGGTGAAGACTGTCAACGATGATCCTTCATGAGTTTTGTTAAACATTATCAATCAGCATTTTCGTGTTGCAGACATTATCATTATAAGTCTCAAATAAAAGCCAATTGGCTAAACATTATCAAAAAATAGCTTATCATTATAAGTCTCAAATAAAAGCCAATTGGTTTTTCGATCGTTAACCGTCTGGATTTGCTCCAACTGATCTGATAATGTGGTTAAGTGGTTTCAACTGAAGATAAGAGGGAATTGGCCGTTTTTATCCAAATACAAGATTACATTACTCCATAGCAAATAAAAGCCAATTGCTAAACATCTCAAAAATAGCTTATCATTATAAGTCACAAAAGTCAATTGACTCTGTCCCTCTGTCATGTTTAACAAAACTCATGAAGGATCATCGTTGACAATCTCAAAAATAGCTTATCATTGTGCTATTTTTTGATAATGTTTAGCAATTAGCAATTGGCTCTGTCCCTCTGTTATGACTTATAACGATAAGCTATTTTTGAGATGTTTAGCAATTGGCTTTTATTTGCTATGGAGTTCTCGGCTTCTCGTCATAATGAAGCTTTTGATCAAAGTGAACCCAGAAGTACAATTTTCATGACACCCTCCTCCATCAAGATTCAAGAAATTAAACTTACATGCATTAACCAAAACTACAATACAAATAACACGTATACAAAAAACTCAAAGTACAGTAACTAAACGTTATAATCAACCACGATATGAAATTAAAAAGTGCATACAATGAATAAAACCTTGGTTTAAATAAAAAGCATACACCAATTTACCATTGACGTACACTTGACAATAACCAAAAATCATCATAAAAATTGATTTGAGGGAACAATATTACATTGTAATTAAATTTAAACCTAATCGAAAAAAAGATACTTCTCTTCATCAAAATTTTGTGGAAATCCTTCTTCTTCAATCTGCTGCTACGACTTGGAATTAATTTGGACTCGGTTTAGGGCTCGATATCAATATTAGGCAAATTCTTTTACTTTTGGGTGGCGTACTCAATGAGTAAGGGGGTATTTTGGTAATTAGACACTCTCTGTTAGTCTAAACTAACTAGATTTAGAGATTTTAAATAGAAAATCTAACTGAATGACCAATTGAAGGACCAATGCCGACATATTTGAGTAAATTGAGGGACTAATATCAAATTACATGCACAAATATAAGGGACTAATTACATTACTAATTATTTAAGGGTCTGACATTGAAAAAAACATTTAGGTTATGATCTACTAAACAATAAGCTAAGTGAATATTTATGGTGGATTATAAGCCACGAGATTTGACCAAGTAAAAAATAATATCTATACCATGTGATTTCACACAAGATCCTATTGCAATAAAATAACTCATTAGTAATTTCATCTTATTATCCATCATTTTGACAATGATACTAGATTATAGTTTACTCATTTGCCAAAGAGGGACACTACAGGCACACCATCAACCACATCTCCTCTCCTGCTACAGTGCAGCAGGCCCCATATGAAATTTTTTAAAAATTTTCACATGGGGCCCACTGCACTGTAGCAGGAGAGGAGGTATGGTTGATGGTGTGCCTGTATCATTTTCCTTTGCCAAACACTCATGGCTCAACTAATGAAAAATGATTACGATTCATTAAACTTAACAAATACTCTAGCGGAGTATAATCGAGTATAATCCAGCCCAAACATGCTCTTCCTTGCAAGAGCCTGAGGAACTCTTACATTCAGTCTAGGCCCAATATGCTTAAGACCGGGCCTGCCCAAGGTTATGCGCCGCGCCTGACATGAATTTTTTCCATCTCTCTGAGAGACGCGAATGACAAATTTTTAAAACCGACCTATTTTGAATTTTATTCCCAAAAACAGACCCATTTCAAACTTAATTTCAAAAACAGATCCAGTTGGCTGAAACTGAGTCGGTTTTTAAAGAAAAAGTTCCCAAACTTCACGGGAGTTGAAGTCCCGTGAAGTTTTTTATATAACAAAACTTCACGGGACTTCAACTCCCGTGAAGTTAGGGAATTTTTTTTCAAAAACCGACCCAGTTTCTGTCCAACTAGGTTGGTTTTTAAAATTAAGTTTGAAACATGTCTTTTTTTGAGAATTTTTTGACAAACAGGTTGGGTTTGAAAATTTGAGCGAGACGCGAATCTTCAAGCCCAGTACCGTACAAAAATTTGCATTCTTGATAATTTGACACACATGGCTTTTATATGATCAATGGTACATGTATGCCGTAAGTTATGCCATCATACCTGCGTCGGTTTCTCATGGACTATAGATTCTTTTTTTAATATGAAAATTGAAACTTCTAAAAGCGTCCATTTGCATCTCAACCTGAAAGACGACGATATACAAAGATCAAATTAGGCAGCAACGAAAGCCCACGCATATTTGCATCCTTGCAAGTTTGTGAAAAATATATATCTCGAAAAATTTATAGCCAGTATTGGAACCTCCTCCACGTAGCCACCACCCACATCGCCGCTTCCTGCGATTCTCTATAAAAAAAAACAACTCCACAATTCAATCTAATGGTTCACGTTGAAGATAAAATCCAACCAACATTCTCAGCATAACTCCTCTTCTAATATAGTTATTTTTTCCAACTATCATCTTTGGTTTTATGCTAGATCTACCTATGATCTTATAGCTTTCATCATCTTTTCACCGTGTATTAGCTAACTTTAAGATGATTCAAATAATAAAAAAGATTGTTTATCGTTACATCAATAATGTGATTCATATAATGCTGATCGTATGTCGATTATGGCACAACTGGCCCAATTTAATAAGTAGATCATATCAACATATAAAATATAGGATGCACATTCAAGTCTCATTAAGAAAATTATCGTTCATCAACTTTTGAAAACTAGCTTATACCATGATAAATTTTATATTATTATTTTTATTATAAAGTCAAAAGCCCCCAGGAAAAAAAAACAATAATTTACCATCTTAAAAAAATAGCATAATTTACCTGCTTCAATACAAACTAAAACTTCTTAGTTTGTATTAGTGCTAGTTTGTATTAAAGCGGGTAAATTATGCTACTTTTTTAAGATGGTAAATTATTATTTTTTATTGGGGGCCTTTTGACTTTCTAATAAAAATATTAATATAAAATTTATCATGGTATAAGTTCTAGATCTAGCATAATTTACCTCGATTTATTACCATTTAACCCCTCTCAACTACAAGCAACACAAAATAAAATAAAATAAAATAAATAAAATACTAGATCTGGTAACAAGTTCTAGAAAAAAAAAAATACAAGATCTGGTAATAACTTCTAGAATATCTACATGCCCTTAATCTGTCCGAAACCCCCCACCGTCTCTCTCTCCTCTCTCTCTTCCCCCCTCTTGATTCACCATCTCGACTCTATAAACAAAAAATGGGCGTTTTTTGAGCGATTCTAGGGTTTCTTTTTTGGTCGAGCTCGTTATGGATCTCGAGGCGCCTGGTGTGCCTCAGAGCAGAGAAGGGAGCTTGGACGCTTCGTGCTCGATTTGCCTCGAGACCTTGACGGATCATCGCGAGCGGTCGATCGCGAGTCTTCAATGCGGCCACAGGTTTCATTTAGGTGATCGTTTTCATCTCAATTTCGTGGCGCTTTAGGGTTTTCTGATGTTTTCAGCTTTGAATGTGTTTGTGATTTCTAGATCTGTGATTTATGGATCTGGTTTTTAAGAATTGAGCGGGAATTCAGGCAAGGCTGAGAAAGAATTAAACTTTAGGAGTGTTTTAGTTATGGCAAGATCTGAGATGATCGTTGATCAGGTTTCAGGTCTTTCCATCTTTTTTGAGAGAATTGTGTTGGAACTATTGCAAATATACGATCTATGTAGTTCATAGATAGGTAGAAACATAGAAGGGAACAGAAATTTGGGAAATTTTTATTGCTGAACCAAACAAAATTGGGAGTAATTAAGATTTGATAGTTGGGGTTAGTAGAGGAGCTTAGGTCAGTTGGTAGAGCGGAGGACTGTAGAGCGTTCAGATAAATCCTTAGGTCGGATTTGGATATACATTAAAAGATACGATAAGAAATGAGTGCATTCATATGAGATTAGAGGTTGCTCCTATCAGCGGTAAACTGCGGGAGTATTGACTGAGATGGTTTTGCCATGTATAACTGCGGGAGTATTGACTGAGATGGTTTTGCCATGTATAACGGAAGCCACTAAGTGTATTGATTAAGAGAAGCAAGATAAGATTATAGTTAATGGGGGCAAAAATGACTAGAGGAAGACCTAAAGAACTTGCTTGGAAGTTGAAAGCAATTAAGGAAAATATTATAATAGTTAACTTAATGGAGGAGTTGACCATAATAGGAATGGATGGACAAATAGGATTTCATGTATCTGACCCTAAAATTCGGGGTAGAGGCTTTGTTGATGTTGTTTTGGTTAATGGAGGAACCTACTCTCTAGCAAGCAAAGTAGCTTGACATGGGTGTTAATAAAGGATAATGAGCTAAGAGAAGTATTAGTCCGTTGTCAACAAGTGGCGTTTATGGTGATGTACAAGCTGTTATGCATTCGAAGTAGTTGTATTATGGAGCTTACAGATACTAATCCCATGGTTCAGTAATGAAAATAATCTTTTCAAGGACTACTGTGAGAAATGTCGTTGTAATTAAAAATTACAACTGGGTTCACTTGTATGGTTGACAAATGTAGTGTAGCTGTTGAAATTTTTCTTTCAAATAGTTGAAATTGTTGTATTGCTAAAAGAGCATTAATACAGAACAAATTATCTTAGGTTTTCTTGTGCATGAATGGTTATGAGCAGTGAGAGCATTGGTTCTTTGACGTAGTATTTATGGAATGTGAATGATGTACGCGCAAAAGTGTACAAGAGAATGTTAGCTTAGGGTCAAAATACTTTCATTGGCATAGATGGATAAAGATTAACTAAGACACCAGAAATTGGTTGGGTGCAAAGGTAAAAGATTAAATGCTTGCATAGCACTCTAGGTGTAAGAAAAAATTAATATAGAAACAATTGTGGAGTATTTCTCATTATCCAGTGCATACATGTAAAGACATACTGGAATTGCAGTTAATAGAATAAGCCTCTTTAATTTGTACCTGAATAGAATTACTTCACAGAAATTAGTTTGATTTGTAAAGGTAACTGCTAAGTTTGGAGAATTAGTGCTAACCTTAAACCCTACCCAGGCATCCATCGTTAAAAATTTCATTGGAGTATAGAAAATGTCTAGAAACTGAGCACAATATGTGTAGAAGAGTGAATCCTACTGCTAAGGACTAAAGACCTCCTGATCTTAGTCTCCTACATTGCAAACATGTGTTTTTCTTCTGTGGATGGGTGTGCTTGTTGTTGGAAGGGGGTTAGCATATTTGAGGATGGCGCGTGGGTGCTTATTACTTGTATATGGATGGATATGTGGCGGGTTCCAAACAATCTTTATACAGGTGTTGGTTTAGAATTTAATCCGGTTCTGGTCAGGCAGGGGTGAAAAGATAGGACCCATCGGTTTTATGTGGTGCTGTACCTTCCAAAACCTATGAATTTTGGCTTAGACAGTTTTTAGTTTTATCATGACCAAGTTGGCACCCTTAGTATCTATGACATCACTTTCTGTTCATTTGTTTGTGTCATATTCTTTTCAAGAGCAGTTTAGCAGAAAATATGTTAGAATTTCATTTATCAAATGTACCTAGAGAATTATGGATGAAAATTTTCATTGAATTTTAGAAATAATCCACCCACTAAAATAAAACTTAATAGTCCAGTAACGAATTCATGAATTGTTGTATGAGCTGAAAGTTTTCCTGTCAGATCTATGCTTTAAAAACTATTATGTTGGTATGATAACTTGTTCCTTTATGTCATGATGCGGAACCCATTTGCATTCGAGGGTATATTAGCTATTTTCAATAAGTTGTTTCAGATTATGTTGTAGCGTACTACAAATACATTTGACAAGTACAAAACTGGTAACCTAGTTAAGCAAAGCGAAAAAGCAACTTTCATTCGTGTGGTGATTAGTCTGAATGTATGATTGAACTCTTTGCTATAATACAAGTGCTGCAGTTATTAATTCCATTGGCATGACGCATATCTCCATTTTTTCAGATTGTATTGGCTCTGCATTCAATGCAAAGGGAGCAATGCAGTGTCCGAATTGCAGGAAAGTTGAGAAGGGTCGGTGGCTGTATGCAAATGGTCATCGTTCATCTTCTGATTTTGATCTCGATGCCTGGGTGACTGAGGACTTTTATGATCTCAGTTATTCTGAGTTGGTAAGCATTCCTATCATACTCATGGAGTTTTATGAGGACTCATGGCATTTTAGAAACTAGGTGAGAAACACATGCATTGGACGTTATTAAATATCATGATTGTTTAGTTTATTTTTTAATATAACTTGGTCATGAAATTGTTTCTTTTAGATCTCTACTCGATGATGTAATATTGTTTGTGAACTTTCTTAATATTTATAGTTATGTACATTCAACTTACATTTTATGTGGTTGTGACTGTACACACTATAAGCAACAAATCATTCGAAAAGATTAGTCACTCATAAGGCAATCAGTTTCCTCAATGCCTCATTCATATCTAATAATAATAGATGACATACAATTCTTATGAAGTAAAAAAAAGTCTTCTAGTTTAATCCCTAATGAATATAGAATAAGAAAACTTATATGCATTTAAGTAAAATCTCTCAATAAGTTCATGAAGATAACAACATTCAACTATTAAGTTGCTCAATTTTTTTATTTTAAAATTAATTCATCGAATCATTGAAAATAGCTATTACATTCCCAATTTTTAAGGGTTTTTTATATTAGCTCCTCCAATCAAGAGTAAAAAAAGCAATTAGAGGGAAATTATCCCCTCATATTGCTATTATACCATTGATGAATTTTAAGGACTAATTTCAATATTGCTATTATACCATTGATGAATTTGAAGGACTAATTTCAATATAAATTAAAAACTGAGTTACCTAATAACAATTTCAATGTTTTGACGGACTATTTTCAAAATATGAAAGATTTAATGGATTAATACAAAAAATATTTTGATCAATTGTTGTTAATAAATAAATTAATTTTATAATTTAGTATCAATCAATTAGTTAATATTTACACATGTAATGCATGTTATGTTTACAATGCTAATGTCCTGTAAGATTCTTTCTACTCTTGTCAACAATTTTTAATTAGATCAAATTTTTATTATTTAGTTTTGAATGAAGAGAGCTTTAATTTAGAAGTTTTATTTTGAGTTAATAACTTTAGTTGATAACCAATTATAATAAGAATAAGAATATTGATATTGAATAGGATTAGGGGTAAAACCGACCAAGATTTTTTTTCCTAGAACTCCCACTTTTAGAGGGAGTATGATATTTGTCGAACATATTTTCTTACGTGGAATCGTGGATAGATTTTTGATCCTTGAAAAGACTTGCCTAGAACAACTAGGATGCAATGATGTATCTGCACGAACATATTCATGCTGAACTTCTGTACTAAATGTTTCAACCTGCTGTATGCGAAAATTTACCTGATGTTACAATGCTGTCAACTACTTGCAATCTTAATGTTAATCACTGTATGTAATGCCATCTTTGTTTTCATTTCCATATTCTGGTGAGAAGTTGTTAGAAAAATTCTCTATATTTTCCCGATTGTCTTCCGTAGCTTGTTGCTTGTCTCATTTTAACCTCATGGAGGTTTTCATAATTCATGTACGGAATCATGTCCTTTGCAATGTTATGGAATTGTCGGAATCATATGCATACCAGTTCCAGCCAATGTTAGCATTTAGTGCCTTGTGCAAGGTAAAACCTGAAGAAATCCCCTTTTCATGCATTCCTTTTCCATGTTGATGTCTAGCCTGAAATTTAGGAAAATTTAGTGGTCAAATTATGTTTTGCACTAGCAACTGGTGGGCAACCTCATGGAACTACCAAAAAACTAAGTATTATTGTCTTCTCTTTGAGATGATGATTGTCTATTAGTTTGTTCACTTAAGAGTGTCAGTGCGCAGGGAAATTTGATGGAGTTCATATTATATATAGTTAAATACTCTGTTCACTTGACTAGGGTCCTATGTTTTGATAGGTATCTTTGTCTCAGCTTATACAACACATGCGTAATCTTAAATTCTCTGTTGTCATCACAGCACAATTCATTTTTTGTTGACCCTAAATTTAGGCATTTGTGGGCTGTGAATTAAATTCGTCACTTAAGAAAAGAGGTGCAAAAAAATATCCGTATCCGTTAGGATGCGGATATGGTTACATATATGGATATGTAGTGACATATCGGATCCGTATCCGAGATATCCGAATATATGTTGTTCATACAGTTGTAACAATTTTTTAATCCTTAGATTGATGGATTTGAGGTTAATTTTGATGATTAAGAGATCTAATCTATGCTTAAACAAACATATTAATGAACTCTCTTGTATCATATGAATGATATAGTTCTTCCGATATTATCTAATTGTCTCATGTTTGTTTTGTATACGCATGTATATCTGTATCCGGTTTTGGTAGATATGGATATGAATTTTTCTTGCCGAGGCATATCTGTATGTGATTCGTAAGCAAATACAGATATAATACGTATCATATCCGAGCCGTATCCGAATCGTATGCTTCCCTACTTAAGAATGCCGGTTCAATAGTTATGTGATTGTAATTATTCCTTAAATGTATTCCTCCATTAGGGGAGAGACCTGTTGAAGTGACATAAATTTATTTTAATTTGGATTCCAGTTGAGAGACTTATCAAAGTCTGTTCTAAATTCAATAAAGTGGACAAAGTTATTCCATTACTCCATCCGTGTCGTTACTCCATCCGTGTCATCAATTTGTCCATTCCTTCTTCACCTCAGCACCGATCTTGCTTCATCAATCATATAGCACGTCATGATGTCCAATTAGTAGGGTGGTTCCTTTATCTGCATACAGTTATGTTTACCCATGAAAACTCTTCCTCTCCCTTTTTCTTCAATTACCTAAGAGGAGGCTGTCAGGTTTCATTTTTATTTTTATTTATTTTTTTGAGGGTTGGGTGGGGGTGCGTGGGGGAGGGGATTCTACTCTAATCATTTAATCAGTAGGCTCATGTTTCTACTTGCCCCAATAGAATTTGTTCCCTGCTTGCCTCCTGAACTATTTTGAGTCTCATTTTACCCCCTGAACTATCACTTTTCTCTTGACACACAAAATAATAAAAATGAAGCGGTAACTAGGTACTTGATAGTTAAGGGAGTAAGCAAAAACAAATTTAATAGTTTAGGGAGTAAGCAGAAACAAATTTAATAGTTTAGGGAGCAAGTTGGGACCAAAAATATTTTGTGGTGTAAGTAGAGAACAAAGTCAATAGTTTAGAGGGTACGTAAGGACTAAAAATAGTTAGGGGGTAAGAGACAAATGTAATAGTTTAGGGGGAAGTAGAGTATGAAGCCCAATAATGAAGATGCCATGTTCTAATACATAGACTGCCATATACATTTACTCTAGACCAGTTTTTGAAGTATCAGCCAATACTGATACATATCTGCTATATCATATCTGACTTTAATATTTTATGCATACAGATTCAGCTTAAAACGATCAAAGCTGTCAATGTTGGTTAGTTACAACTTGGACAAGTTGACATTGGGTATAAAGGAGGAGATTTCCAATCCGGAGTACCCAAAAGTTTTGACTTATAATATCAAGAGAAGAATTGCAAATTTTCTGATTAAACTTTACCTTTATTTCATGTTCTTCTAATTCCAATATGAAGCTTCCAAAACTGTCAATACCAATACTAATGAAGGTGAACCTAGACCATGATTAGCATGGGGATTTCAAACCTTGTTCTGGTCTACTAGATTATTGTGTTTATCTCATTCTCAATGAAAACAGAGGTAACTCTTTTAGAATACAACCCTAAAAAGGACATTAGGATTATAAACTTGTCACTTGGGTAGTTACTTGCATTATATGCAAGGTGCACGGCGTAGCGATGTCACGAGATGGTTGGGACAGTTGGTGAACTTACGGAATTTCTGTAGCTTTGTTATCAGAATGCATTATCATTATCAAATCGAGTAGTTAATTTGAAAAGTTCAATCTTAACTCGTCAGTCGTCACATTTGCTCTTCAATGTTATATGCAAACAAAGGATACATGACAGACACAAACACACGAAGCATTGGCTGAGTAAATGTCACTTTAGAAATCATTATGGCTGAGTAAATGCCTATTTAGCATGTTGATAATCTCGGTGTTTCTTGCTTCTACCTTTCCTCCAAAACTGTCAACCAATTATTGAGTATTGATGTGTTGTTTTCCCTACTCTGTAGATGAAAAATGCAGGTTATCAACCACTAAATTTAATATCAGTATATCCATACCATTTCATATAGGTCCATAGTAAACGGGTTCTTATAGCTGAAATTACATATAAGCATCTTTATATATCGCTGGCTGCTCTAGGTCCACTAGAAGCACTATGCACGGTAGATATTGGAGCTTATAGTGCATTATTGTGGTCAGTGGCAGCTGCAGTACACACAATTGCAAATTGTTGACTTATATTGTAAAACTGTGTTGGGTACACGGGACACCATAATAAATATGATGTTTCTTGGCATTTGTTGTTTACTATGTAATTTCCTGGTATTTGACATGTCCATATATCCATGCTTCTTAGAGCAAGGGCAGCAAGCTCTGAAGGAGGCTCTCAAGGCTGACGTGGCCGTGGAAGTTGGCAGCCCCCCTCCAACAAGCTCCCAGACCCTCTCAAGCCCCTCTCCTTAGACCGACGTGGCGGTGGAGAGCTTCGGAGCTCCCAAGCTCTCCACAAATTTGTAGAGCGCTTGGGAGCTCCCAACTGAGAAAGAATTTAACAAAAACCCCCCAACAAGTACACAATTGCAGAGCTGAAAAAAATAGTGAAATCTGCCCAAAATAACAGCAAAAAATCCAACCTTTTCGTCTCAAATCGATCCGATCGGTGGCAACGGACTTCACCTTCGCAGTTGGTCTTTACTCCGATCGGCGACGACAGAGGTTGCGGGAGAGGGTTTGGGGTTGGGGATCCAGAGATCCGTCAACGGTTTTTTCGTCTCAAGGCCGCGGATGTGGGGTTGGGGAGATGAAGAGGTCTGGTTTGGGGTTGGGGAGATGAAGAGGCCTGGGTTTGGGGTTGGGGAGAAAATGAAATTCATTGGAGGTCAAGGAAGATGAAGAGGTCTGGTTTGGGGTTGGGGAGATGAAGAGGTC